GACACAGATAACCTTGTCTTGTCTATAGATAACCTTATCTTACAACATAGCTCTCGATGCTCACCATTGAATTCTTCTACGATGAGCGTTGTCACACAACATCTATGAAACGAATGGTGTGATGAAAAACAAGCATTTATCCCTCTTTCTCACTTATTTAACATGACGAACATGGGTAGGATGAACATCGAAAGCATAATTAAATGTATAAGCGAATTTGTTTCTATGATCAAAATATTCTGAATAGAAGGAGGCTCAGTACTAGTGAGTACTAGTGAGTACTTGTGAGGACTCGACAATTTTCAGATTTTTCAGATGCAGTGATTGATGACTGGATCTTTTCCTACGACAAGATACCGGATCCGGTCCTGGTGAGTTGTTGGGATGGCAACAACTGGAATATCACGGAAGACGATTGTCGAACTGACGTCGTCCCCCCACTGCGCATTTTCGAGGAATACAATAATATGACGCAAGAAATCGACATGGCGATGATGTACTGGATGAACAGGTGGGGAGAATAACGGAATCTCTTATGGATAAGTTCTTTTAGCCCAGTGGTGACTGTGGTGCGATTCTTTTCCGACACAATGCTTTTGGTGGTTCACAAAATTAGGTCAAGCGACTGTGCGATGTACATACAGTAGCGGTCAAAAGTGTTCGCCGATTTTTCGTGCTTCTCTTTTTTTGCCAAAAAATCAATGGTGGCCTCGAAATTTTTTCTTTTGAACATCCTGATTCTTCAAGGCTTGAGGATATAAAAACACTAGAAAACATAGTATATCAATCTTTGGAGGACGTGCTCAAGCGAGAAAAAATAATGCACTAAAAATCGTTTCTGGCGAACACTTTTGACCGCTACTGTACGTAATTGCATTCGGTTGTAGCATTATGAATTGCTCAAATTTGATTTGACCTACTGGGCAGCGTATAATCGCTAGAGGTACTTGTGTATTCATTCGAAGATGAAAATCTGAAAAGGGTGTACTTCGCTAGGACAGGAAGCTACTTTTCGAATCGCAGCGCGAAATTTTTTTACTGCCGGAACACCAGATCCACATGAGTGTACGTGGTGTTCCCGCAGTGGAAATGGTTTGCGAAAAGCGGAAAAGTCGTGTTTTCTCTAGCGAACAACACTCATCTAAGCATAGAAGTGAGTGCTTGTTCACCATATCGTTTTGTTCTTTCACGTTAATTTTTCTTTTAAATGAAGACCCATCAATATTCGTGAGTGTGTACGTTTTAATATTTTACGACTTGAGGAGAATCTATATCACACGGTCAGACTCTCATTAACAAAAAGCCGCTCACATCAAACCGCGCACTGACTCGTCAAGAATACTTTTAGCGATTACATAACCTGGGTATGGGACGCCCAAGGTGCTAATCACCAAAAAAGATCGCCATCAAAAACTACGAGACCGCACTAAAGACCTTTAACTTCTCCACTAAACGCTCCTGCCATACTCTTTTTAGTTTTGTATTTTGACAACCGAACAGTTCCTAAAAGCGCTGAACGGCAACAGGAGTTCACTATCAAGCGAATATTGCTTAATGCCTCGATCATACAGTTTCAATGAACGATTCTTAACGGCTTTTGACCATTTCGTGAGGCATCTTTACTCAACTGAACAGCACATACTCAGTGATCCACTTCGTTCAGGACTCGGACGATACCGTTCACTAAATTCTTCAAGCAGTACGCGCTCAGCTTTTATTGGTCTGCATTGACGCTGGTTACTCTTGGTGAACAGGTTAGAGCAATTAATTTCCGAATTCATACTCAATTATGGCTTTCAATGTTAATGCAATTTGACCTTCGCCAGTTCAAGTTCTGAAATAGACCATTTTCCACCTCAGTGAGGCAAAAGATTCTTGCCTCACTTCCACTTTTCACCATCCCTCTCATTCCTCCTATGGTTAATGTCGATGTTCCCGTCAAACCTGTTTCAAGTTGGTATATTACTATCCAAGTGGATGCCACATCCTCAGAACCTCGTTCAGCATGGGTATATGACTGTTGACGGCAAAAATTGCAGAAATTCTCAAAGTTTCCCCATTCCTCGAAAACTGCCTTTCTGGGAACATTTTATTTTCCTCAGGAACACAACTCCATTTTCCGAGCACAACCACTCAGAATCACACAAAATTCGACTCCCACGTCTGACTCTGTTAGAGGGTTGACTCTGTTGCGAGGCAGTAGATTGAGATCACTATGGACAGCGATAGCGCCGTTGGCAGAGTCAACCCTGCGTTGCGCAGTTCTCAACGGCCACGTTGCGCAGTTTCGCCCGATTAGACACGTTCTCTCGCGCGAACATTCACACTCGCATGCTCGAGCCGTCTGTGTCTCCGCCCATACAGCGTGCGTTGAGGATCTCTCAACGTGCCGTTGCGAACTGCGCAACGCAGGGTTGACTCTGGTTGTGTTCCTTCCTGCTGAGGGTAGGGTACCCAGCCGTGCATGCACTCATCCTTCCTTTGGTGCTACCTGGCGGACATTCTGGATGAGGTCAGGCGACACTGGTCCTGCAGCGCCAACGCGAAGTACCGCTGGTTGCTCTGCGTTGCGCAGTTGGCTTATGATTTGTGTAAATTGTAGATTTGTTCTAAAATAAGTTTGAACAGCCATCACCGACGGACACCTTCCAAAACTCGTTTGAAATTTGCGACACTCTGCTAGGATTGGTGTTGTTTGCGGTAAGCGCACTAGTATATATTTCCCTGTGACATATGCCTGTCTCCGTGCGACTTTTTCAGGTTATCGTTGGTGATGTCGGTAACATGGTGACCAACATGAACATGAAACGCTCGGATTTCGAAGAGGTTCTCGACGGATGCAAGAGCTATATGATCTACAGGTATGTCTATCAAGTGGCCCGACACCAAAGGGGCATATGAAAAACGCAGTTCCAAAGGCCTCTGAATTTGTTATTTCTCAATCAAAGAATTTAGTGCTGTAAAGGGAAACAACTTATAAAGAGTGGTTCGTGCCACGCGGTGATAAATGATAGGTTCACAGACCGGTACCACAGAATAAAAAGTAACCACACTTCGAATGCTCCACAATTTATTGGCGCACGGCGCAACCATCTCAAACTTGGGTAACTAAACGATAATACATGTTTAGTCGAAATAAAGTCATCGAACGGACCAAAGAAAATAATCTCCGATAAAAATGGTCCAAAAATCTAAGAGAACAAGGCACAGAATGTGATGAAATTGAGAATTCCGGGAAGACCTTAGACTCGTAGAATAAAACACGCAAGACCTAA